CCTGGCACTTAGCAGGTCCCCATGCCCACTTCCACTGCAGGAGTGCCTGGCAGTGGTCTTTGTCAGTGGGGAGCTGTCCAATGTAGGAGGGTCCTTCTACATTTACCAAACCTACATTTACCTCAGGATAAAGTCCAACAACTGGCCGTGGGTGGCAGCGCCACCTGATGTCCACCATGCCTCACCCTCTCCTCCTGTAATTACGGGATTCCAGGGGAGCATCGGTGGGCTACCTGTCCCAGCTTCCCCAGCAGTAAGGTGTGACGATGTGACTAAGTGTTCTCCAGTGAGCTGGTGTCCACTCCTGCCCTCAGGGGCTTCAGAGAGCAGCTGTGTCTCTGCACAGGTTGTGTGAATGCATGATGGGCTTTTTTTTTTTTTTAAACCTAACAGTTAATGAAAAGAACTCCAATTTGTTGCCAAAAGATTCAGAATCCACTCTGCATACCTTTGGTGAGCATAGAAATTGTCCTCTCTCTTTAAAGAGCAATTTGAAAATATCAATGAGAATTTAAGTAAACATTCCACTACTAAGAATGACAACTTATCCTATAAACAAACTCACAAGTGCAAATGTGCTTGTAAAAAAAATTGTCATTGTGGTGTCATTTGTAAAAGTACAAGAAAAAAAGGAAGAGGGAGAGGGGTTAGAGAGAAATTGGGTGATGGACACAAAGAATAATTACGATTTGTAATGATGAACGGGCTGATAACACTGATTTGATCATCACATATTGTACACAAATACTGATAATCAACTCTGTATGCTATAAATATGTACAATCAATTATGTTTCAAGTGTAAAAAGAAAAGAAAAAGTAGAGGAAAGCAAATTACAAAGTACAATGGTCGCTCAATAGTATCTCTGTACACTGGAATACCATGCAGCTGTCGATAAGTGTAAGGCAGCTTCACATGCACTGATATGGAATCACGACCTCCAAGATACACACACAAATGTACACTGCATTTCTGCATTAATGATATAGTAATGCAATCATATTTAATAATATATCATAAAACATATATATATATCACTTTAGAATGGTGGCCTGTGACAGAAAGGAGGAAAATGGGAGAGTGAATTATGGATAAATAATAAATAGAAGGACTGTGTGTGAGTAGGAAAAGGTCAGATAGGTAGATAGAGAGACCTTGCACAGAACAACGA